TCAATGCCTCAGCCCTAGTCTCTTTCAAATGAGTGGTAATCTAAGGAAATTAATGCCAACAAGAGACCATTCCTAGAAAGATTCATGCTGGTAACATTGCGTACCTACGATTGTCGTGATTTTTCCACCTAGATATTCATACGAATGTCGAATTTTTCTGACTTTTATTGACAGATTTCTAGAATGCTGGCTGCTAAAGTGTCCCTTGCAGCGCGAGTCGATGCCTTGGGGGAAGACAGTGGAACGGCCATGGGTGTTGAAAATAGAGCAAAGCTTGAAATGAGGTTGAAGGCGCTCGAAGAAAATCAGGTAACAAAGAGGCATTCCATTTTTCCGCACCTGATAGACATTCCATGGTTTACTGCGTTTTCCAACCGTCAGCAGTGGTTATTTCAACATGTTGTGGTAGTTTAAAGCCCTATCTGCCAAAAGCATCCGTATTTCATATTGAATAGTGACAGGTCTGACTCCTATTAAGATGAATCAGAATTTCTCTTTTTCCTGCCAACGTCCGGTTTTCGTTTTTTGAGCTTGGCACTGCAATTTTTTTTTTTTTTTTTTTGCAGATGTCCATGATTTTGTTTTGAGTTTAATTCTGGGAGCGAGAATCTCCCCTGTTCTCCCTTTTTTCTGAGTGTTCAGTTCGTTTGGAGTTGACATGAACACTCGAGAATCAACTTCCATATAACCGAATAAAGTATATTTTCTTTTTTAGTTGAGAAGAATCAGTGGTACTGGCAAGGCTAAAGCAAGAGTAGACAAATACGAAAACAAAAGGTACTAAATGCAACCGCTGAATTAAATTCGTTTTCCTAATCTTATACAAGAAGCACGAGCAAACTGTCGCATCCAGCGAGGTCAGCACAAAAGGCCAGTGGACTTCGCGTGTGATTCGCGGATCATGCACCCTTCCCTTTCCCTCGCGCGGCTAACACGCAAAATCTTGCACGCTCTTTGTCTGAATTGACGTTTCGAGCGTAAGCCTTTCGTCATTCGCTCAAACGACAGNGCTATTGCTTAAATAGCGCTATCTACTGCGAGGATCGTGCATCATTCGTATCTAATAGCGCTGCACTAGTATCGCAGAGGTCAGTGGTTCGAATCCCGTTAAAGCCTGTTTTTTTTTTTTTTATTTCAGGTCTGATTTTCGCTATTGCATAAATAGCGCTCTCTACTGCGAGGATCGTGCATCATACATTGCTAACTGTTGATAATTATGTTACCTTCACACAGACGACGGGGAGACGCCGGCCAAAAAGTCAAAGAAAGAAAAGAAGAAAAAGAAGAAGAAGAGTGAAGAATCGAAAGATGAAGACGATGACGAACAACTAGAGACCTCCGCGGCTGTGGTGAGTATGAAGTCTTTTGACTGTTGTAGGCATCATCTTTTGTCGGAGTTGAAGGATTCGTTTGAGGGGGGGGGGTAGGGAGGGGGGAGGTGGAGAGCGAGGTAAGTGTATCATGGTTGTCTCTGAATGTTGGATTCTGACGGTACTCATTCTTTTAGCTTGATTTGACCAATCACGTGGAACATTTACGAGTATCTCTCATTTGGTAAAATATTTCTTTCTCACTAGCCCACCCAGATTTTATTCCAGCTTAGAAAAATTGACCCGTTAAAATGCTTTTCCATTTCAGACCCCAAAGAGCGAAGAAAAAAAGAAAAAGAAAAAGAAGAAGGTAAAAAAGGAACAAGACTCAGATTAACATAATTATGATCTGATTTAATTCACTTTGTACATGTTTTACAGTAAATTGTTCTCCGATGCCGTTTAGTTTCCTTTTGGTTCCAGTCTTAGAACGGTTATAGCGTTGATGGGATATGGCAAGGAAAGGGCTTACTAACGATATGGGTGCCTTTTAAAATGGGCGTCATTGAATATGAAATATAATGTCACGGACTAATAATTAATGTCACACTCTATATATTTCTAACAGGGGAATAAGTAACGAAACTTGAGGGAGGAAGTTGGCTTTCCTGCCCCTGTGGGTTTATCTTGCACCTTGGCGCCCTCCCCTCTCCGAATAGGGACCTTAAGAAACCACGACGGCGACGCCAAGGAAGACTTCGATTAAAAAATGAATTTCTACTCTTAGTTAGAATTTCAAAAATGGCTGCAGGAGCTTACTGTCTCATACAGCGCCACGGCTCAACTTCAGCGTGACGTATAAAGTAGCCGTCGAGTTCCAAATGGAAGTTAAAATAATTTGCCGT